TGTGCTGTGAGTGGTGATCAGAACAAATTGGAGAATATTTGTCACCATATAGTTACCAAAAGTCAAACTTGATGAATGCTAACTGTTGGATCCTATAGTTAATAATTTCCTTAAATTCAATTTTATATATGAAAATTAAGCCAAAATATTCTAAATTCAATTGTACAATATAAATCTTTAATATGTAAATTTTAAAGCAATCAACATGTATGTAAATTTCTAGTTTGGTTAGTTAATAGTTTTTCTTTTCTCTCTCTCTCTATCACTAGTATCAAAATCTAAATCAAATTCATGTATTCTAAAATCATGTGGTAGCTACTCCTAACTCTAAAACCCAAAGACAATAAAATAATTCAAGACAAGTGGCAAAGTGCTTCTTAGTATCATTTACTGAACATTCAAGCCACAAACACTAACAATAGCAGCAACAATCACCATATACATATTTCTCCTAATTGTTAAAAATGACATTTTCTGGTTGGGAGTTTGCTTAAAAAAGAAGTCTTCTTCTTCTTTCTTATCTCAAAGCCATGATAATCATGGTGAGTAGTTAGCGACTGCTTTTACTGTAAACGCACCACATGTGTACACATGTGAAAAGCAGTTTGACTTTGCACTTACAAATGTGTCAGAGCCCCGTTTGGTTACTTGTACTCACTGGTGGGTTTGGTTGGACTTTTGCAAGAATCGGGGGCCATTGGAGCATTTTTTTTTTAAACAAAAAAAGTGTCCAATGAGGGAATCGAACCTGGGTCATAGTGGTCGAAAACCAAACAGTTTAACCAGCCTTCCACCGACCCCCTAAAAAAGAAGTAAAACCTCTCTATAGTGAACCTCAATGGGACTGAACCTGTGGTTTACTATAGCCATGGTTTATTATAGCCATGTTGTTGTTGTTGTTGTTTCTTATCCCCTTGTGTAAAGATTACACAAATTCCATGAGTTCATGCTCCTCGAGCTGTTTTATGATGAGCAGCGGCCTCTTCCAAAGGTCCTGTTTAGTGCATCTAATGCAAGCCAAAATGTGTTCTGGAACTGTAGGTGCCAAGCTACATTTTGGGCAAGTGGGGGCAGATTTTGTTATTATTTTCTATCTTCAATGGCTTGAGATGACCTGTTCTAAATCCATAGTTTACTGTATCATAAAATAAATATGAGGATTATTTTAGATTTGTTATAATGGAAGGTTAACTATATCCCAAGTTGGTTTTACCAGGGTTTTGTGTGTAAGAGCCCTGTTTAGTTACTTGCAATCACTGGTGGAGTTGGAAAATTCAAGAATAAGGGTCCATTGAGTAATTTTTTAATTCAGAAAAAAAATTGCCCAATGTAGGATTTAATCCCAAGTGTCTTGGCAATTGGAAATCAACAGTTTATACAATTCCTCCACTGACCCGAAAAACAGTTGATGTATCAATTCTTTTTAACAATATTTCTCTCTGGTTGTGATATTGTACAAATAAATCAACAATGATTTACTGGCTTGTGTACTTAACAGATTCTCTCATCTACACTCATGGACAAAACTTAAGGAAGTTGTACCTTTCAGCATGTATATCGGGATTGAGACAATAACTCTGAAAGATATTACAGTGACATTTATTGAAGACACACATATATGCACTCATGGACAAAACTTAAGGAAGTTGTACCTTTCAGCATGTATATCGGGATTGAGACAATAACTCTGAAAGATATTACAGTGACATTTATTGAAGACACACATATATACACTCATGGACAAAACTTAAGGAAGTTGTACCTTTCAGCATGTATATCGGGATTCAGACAATAACTCTGGAAGATATTACAGTAACCTTTATTAAAGACACATATATACACTCATGGACAAAACTTAAGGAAGTTGTACCTTTTAGCATGTATATCGGGATTCAGACAATAACTCTGGAAGATATTACAGTGAACTTTATTGAAGACACACGAGATAACCAAGTGTGAACAAAATTTCCTCTGTCTCCTTTAAAAAATAGATGATCATGACATTAAAGACTTTCCACTTCCTTAAGTTTTATCCATGAGTGTAAACTTTAGACAAACCATCTTTGGAACTAAAAAAGTACAATTTGGATTATAGATTATAAACACAAGGTAATAAGACCAAATCCAAATAAATAAAGTGTGATGTTTCAGTAACAATGTTAATACTGATACAAGAAAATAAGACCTAATCCAAATAATTTAATAGTGTGTGACGTTTCGGTAACAGCATTGTCACCAAAACATCACACACTATTAAATTATTTGGATTAGGTCTTATTTTCTTGTATCTATAATCTATCCAAATTGTGCTTTATCAATGTTAATACCGAAACATCACACACTATTTATTTATTTGAATTTGTTCTTATTACCTTATGTCTTCTTCTTTCTTATCTCCACTCAATCATATTAGAGTATCAAGCTTGTAGAGCTTGAGACTTGACAACCATCATGACTGGGTGAAGTAGAATGAGTCTGCCTTTGTCATTAAGACTGGGAGCACTACTCAGTAGCAGGCCGACTTAGCTCCAAAAGAAATGACCACCTCTGACTTGAGGAACAGACTCCATGTGCAGCCGCTCCTAACATGGAGTACAAACACTGCTCATCCTGTATCCCTGGATTAGGAGCCCTTACAGGGTACTATCAGCCGGGCCAGCTGAACCCAGGTTTTTAGTGAGCTTGTTACTGCTCCCCCTCCTCCTTTTTCATCCGGGCTTGTGACCTTATGTTTATCTTTGGAACTAAAAACCAAAACTATATACTAGAGGAAAAAACATTTATCTAAGTTTTATTTATGTAAATTGTCATTACAACCTTTCTCTATCTCTATTTACAATTCAGAAAAAAATAGCCATTTTTTGCACATAGCCAGCTTTTATTTACAATGTTTCGTTGACCCAATGTCCGCTCTTTTCCATAGAAAACCATTAATTATTATTATCCCTAGTACACGTGGTACAGGCCATGATAATCATTGTGGGTAGAAGTTGGCGACTGCTTTTATTATAAGTACACTACATGTCCAGAGCAGCATATTTACACACCCAAGATAGAGAACATTGCTTCTGCTGTGATAGAGATGTGTGGAGACATCTGAGGCTCTTCATTGGACACGACAACAACTACAAAAAATTGACATGGACCCAGAACAGCAGCTTTACACACCCAAGATAGAGAACATTGAGACTGCTGTGATAGAGATGTATGGAGACATCTGAGGCTCTTCATTGGACACGACAACAACAGAAAATTGACATAGACCCAGAACAGCAGATTTACACACCCAAGATATAGGGCATTGCGACTGCTGTGATAGAGATGTATGGAGACATCTGAGGCTCTTCATTGGACACTACAACAACAACAGAAAATTGACCCAGAACAGAAGCTTTACACACCTAAGATAGTGGACATTGCTTCTGCTGTGATAGAGATGTATGGAGACACATCTGAGGCTCTTCATTGGACACGACAACAACAACAACAACAACACTACATGTAAAAGGCAGTTCGCACTTACAAATGTGTCAGAGCCCCGTTTGGTTACTTGCACTCATTGGTGGTAAACCATTATACCATTCTTATATTAATATTAATTCTTCCCTTATTCTTATAATTCACAAAAAGTAACACATGCAACAAGTGAACAACATAAGGTCGGTTTAATTTGAAAGAAGATAACAACAGGTAACTGAAATGTCAGAAATAGGAAGGTTGAAATGACAACAATAATATAAAACTAAATTAAAAAAAGACATCTCCTGATCATGCAAATAAAATTTGCTAATGGTTTGTGCCATCTATCACCATATATTATTTTCATAATTAACTCCGCCCCAAGCCCGGATGAAAAAGGAGGAGGGGGGAGCAGTAACAAACTCACTAAAAAGCCTGGGCTCAGCTGGCCCGGTTGATAGTACCCTGTAAGGGCTCCTAATCCAGGGATACAGGATGAAAAGCATTTGTACTCCATGTTAGGAGCAGCTGCACATGGCGTCTGTTCCTCATGTCAAAGGCGGCCATTTCTTTTAGAGCTAAGTCGGCCTGCCACTGAGTAGTGCTCCCAGTCTTAATGACAAAGGCAGACACATTCTACTTCACCCAGTCATTATAGTTGTCAAGTCTTAAGCTTTACAAGCTTGATACCCTAACATGATTGAGTGGAGATAAGAAAGAAGAAGATTTTCATAATTTATCCACTAGGGCTTGGATAAGAAAATCTTAAATGAGACTTACTCTTGTAAACATCAACATTCCATTACCATAACTATAAGATTATAAACTCAAAAGGAACTTCTTCTATAGAACATGTTTATTTTGCTAGCTTTCGAACGACATCGTTCTTCGACGGGCGTAATAGGTCTTTATGCTCGTCAAAAGATGAATTTCATTTAACAAAATTTGCATACCAACCCTTTGTACATATATCAATTGTGTTGATATTTTTTTTATCTTTTAATCTAACTAACTTACATACTAATTCTGTACATATTTAAAATATCTTTCTTTCTTTTCTTTCCCTCTTTCTCTTTCTTGTTTTTTTTCTTTTTCTTCTGTCTATATCGTTATTTCCTTTGTCTCACTGCTTTGTTCTTATGCATACCTCTGGTGAATCCTGTATAGGGTCAGTGACCCTAAATAAAGGCTTTTTGTTGTTGTCTTTCTTTTCTTTCAAAAATTTTGTTCATCTTTAAAGTGTAAGTGTCCCTAGGGGGACATAGCGCTCTAAGTCGAAATAAAGAAATCAAAAAAGAAATTTGTTCGAAATATAGCGAAATAAACATTGTGTTTTATAGAAATAGATCCTTTTGAATTTATAATCTTATAATATAAAGACTTATTGTCAAATTAAGTAAGTTTTTAATTAACTATATGCCTTTATAAATGACCATTTTATATGTGGCTCGTTGGTCTAGGGGTATGATTCTCGCTTTGGGTGCGAGAGGTCCCGGGTTCAAATCCCGGACGAGCCCTTTTTTTTTTTAATTTTATACTTAATACGTGCTCTAATGGTTAAGATATCTGGCTTTCACCCAGAAGACCCGGTTTCGATTCCCGGTGTGACGCTTTTTTTTTTTTTTAAATTATATGCCACGTGAAATGATAAACTACCTCTGAGTTCTCCTCGCCAGTGTTGTAAACTTTGTCCATTTATCGCGATCTAATTGGCTGTTCACTATCACGTGGCCTTAATCAGCCAACCAACGTTGAGTTCACTAGCCAATCAGTGTACAGTGTTTCTTTAGCTCAGTGGTTGTATTGAACAAACAACGAAATTTTATAACAAATATAAGATCACGGGTTCGATCCTAGGAAGTTCCCCCTTTTTTTTTTCTTAATATAAATAATTTAATTTTAAACATTTTCTATTTGTAAAACGACATTTCAAAATGATCCCGCATGTTTTTGTTTTAAACGGAAAATCTAAATTTATTTTTAAGGAGAAATAACGATTATTTCTAAACCTTATGGATGAAGTATGAAAGGATGAATTGTGAAGAGCAATGATAAACGGAAAAATAAAAGTGTCCAGGGATGGAAATCGAACCCACAGTGTTCCCGCTTATTTGTACTTTTGAAAAATTTGAGAATATTTTGTATCTAAGAAATTTTAATTGATATATTCGACTTTTTAATAACTGTTTAGTGTAGGGATCTGACGCTCCTCCATTCTGTAATGGTGAGTTTTTAACGGCATGAACTCAACAAGAGCAACCTAGTTTATGATAATTGAAACAATGACGAATCCTGTATGGGACTTTGATTCCAGTAAAAGGCTTGTTGCTGCTGCTGTATATATTCACAGTGTAGAAAATACTACAATATACCTACTACTTATAGGTTTCTCTCTGTATTCTTAGTTCTCTTCTCTTCAATTACTCTGTAAACTGGCGAATCCTTTATAGGACGAGAGGCCCTCAATAAAGGCTTTTATTGTTGTTGTTGTTGATAATTGAAACAGTGAATAATATGTGAAGTTCACATATTAAACAAAATTTTAGCGCGGGATTCAATCCCGGTTCATGACTTTCGGGAATTGAGGGTATTACCCACCGACTTTTTGGCGTGAACTTCGTTTTGTCATTACATCGTGATACCTTTTTAGGCTTAATAAAAAGGGCATGTTAGCCCTGAATTGCTTGTTAATTTTATCGATTTATATAGTCAGGGATGTGTGTGGAACACGTGTTTCTACATCAAGAGTTAATTATTCTTAAAATTTTCTGTCGCTTTTTTTTTTGAGACTATGAGCTAATGCTATAGTCAATAAATATAGCAGAAAAAGACTTATAAATTAATAAAAAGGCATTTCCTTATCGTATAACTGAAAGTTGCTGATGGCTTGCGCCATCTATCAGAATAAATATAAACTATTATATGCCACGTGAATGATAAACTACCTCTGAGTTCTCCTCGCCAGTGTTGTAATCTGTGTCCATTTATCGCGATCTGATTAGCTGTTCACTGTCACGTGGCCTTAATCAGCCAACCAGCGTTATTCCAGAATTGGTCAAATACCCATTCTTGATTAATCAAGAAAAGCTAACCACGTACGCATTTCGGGCTTTTGGCCCTCGTTTCTTGATTAATTAAGAATAGGTATTTGTTCAATTCTGGAATACTAAAAAAAAAAAAAGTTAATATTTATTCCGACAGATGGCGCAAGCCATCAGCAACTT